TTGCAAATGATTTCATCAGTTTGGAAATAGCATACAAATTAAACAAGAAAAAGGATGCAAATTTGTCCATCTGCCATTGCTTTTTTTTTTAAAGTGTTACCACTAAAATGCAGAGCATGAATTTGAATATGCCCACAATGCATTTCCCCCACCCTACAAACACACCTTCCTGGTTCTCCAAAGGCTTAGAAAGATTAATAAGCTTCCTCTCTGCATTCTGTATACTGGATACAGTATACAGTCCCCAGCTTCTGCAAGTAGGATTGGGAGACGCTCCTGTCTGAAGCCATTGGGAGCCACTGCCAGTCAGTGCAGTCGATGATTCTGAGCAAGATGGACCAGTGGTCCCTGTACAGGGCAGCTTCCTGCATTCCTTTGGGCCCAGGTCATTCCCTTCCATCTTAGAGCTTGTGAAGCATGGTTAAAATGTGCTGGCTTTCTCTGCATCCACACAGTGGTTGAAGTTCTAGCAGCCTAACAGGTACAGAAAGAAGCCAGTGAACCTCAGCCCACCCTCTCCAGCTTGGAGCCAGTGAGATGCAGAAGAGACTGGCCTTTGGTGGGGAGCAGCGGGGTAGGGAGGCAGAGGTTGGGTTTGGTACTCTGCTTGCATCCAGGGAGCTAGCACAAATTACAGGCTCCCACCCTTGTTTGGAGCTGCGGAGGAGATTAATTACTCCTCCAACACTGGGAGGAATGACTTGAGCGCATCTTGCTTGCAAGATAGGAGGGCTATTGTCCAGCCCCTGCTTAAAACTATATTTTGAATACATCACACGCATACACATTTAATCCACTGGGCTTCTTGATTATCTGCATGCTGCACAGCATCATTTATGACTTCGTTTTCGTAACTCTTAATTCTGTCAGGCAACCACTGTCAAATCTATTTTTCCAATTCTCCAGTCGCACGGCAAACTAATCTGCATCTTGTAACCACATGTGATTTAAAGTGAGTGGAGCTTGAATTAACTCCAAATTGGTCTTGTTGCATAGGATCGCCCCCGTCGCCCCCAAGTGCTATTTGAAGTATTTAGATCAGAATTGAGGGTATCTAAAAAATGATGCTTAAAAAAAAACCTGGAATATTTTCTGTTACTTAGCTGAAAGTCAAAACCAATATGGAACAAGTAATTCCCCCGCCTTCCATGATATGAAGAACTGAGGAGAAGTTGTTTTTTCCATTTTAAATAATTCATGTTTAAGGCTAAGTCTCTGACAGATGGGCATGCATATATACCGTATATGAGATTGTAGAGCTGAAGAAGGACAACAGAAATGATCATCTGGTTGGACTCTCCAGTGGGGAAAAGATACTCACATGTCATAAGGTGGGACAACATGACAGCACGTCTCAAGCTTGTACATCTAAGGTGCACAAACACCCCTGACCATATGTGGCAAATCCATTTGTGGTACTCTTAAATGTTCAATGAGCTCTTTGTGATCCTCAGTTGGAACACAGTGTAGAAAAATATATTCGGGTTGCCCTGGGGATCTATGTGGAGGCAGAAAACCAGCAATTTTCTGTTTCCACAGAGCTTATTATTACCAGTTTAATATATTCTTACATTTGAGTTTCTGTAGGTTAAATTAAATAAGAGGAATGCCATTTTCAAGTAGGGGGAACTGGACTGAAATAAGATTACTTTGGAAGCCGTCCTCTGAAAAAAATGGATGAGGACATTCCATTGCAGAACTCATGCTGTGAGTTCTGCTAGATTAGGTGGGTATAGGTCAGAAACTCTCTGTGGTGAATGTTTCAATCTACACCAGCTTGAAGATTTTTGTGTGTTTGTATATTGTTCTAGGATGGTTATGTTGTTTTGGTATTTTGCCCAGATGCTTTATATCAGGCTGGGGCTGATGGGAGTTATAGCCCACCACTCTGTCAACGGCACAACATTGGCTATGCCTGTTCTTAACTATCAACAGAAATACACCACCTTCCGCACATCATATTGCTAACTTGTCTTTGCTGGGTCTGTTATTGTTAACTATTTGTTTTCATAAGATGGAGAAAGCTTTCATATTCTAAATACAGTGGTACCTCTGGTTAGGAACGTAATTCGTTACAGAGGTCCATTTTTAAGCTGAAACCGTTCTTATCCTGAGGTGCGCTTTCACTAATGGGGCCTCCCGCTGGCACACGATTTCTGTTCGCACCCTGGAGCAAAGTTCGCATCCAGGAGCAGCTACTTCCGGGTTAGCGGAGTTCGTAACCCCGAAGCATTGCATAACCAGAGGTACCACAGTACTGCTTTCAAACAGGTAGCAAGTACAGTTACTTGAAATGCATTTAGCAGTCTGTGGTCTGCACAGGGGCCAACAATTCTGCCCATGTGGTCAACAGGGGAGTACTTACTCAAAAAGCAGTGAAGGCTAGGTAATGGAGTGTTAAGGCTTATATTCAGGGATAGCTCAGTTGGTCCCTTCCAACTCTTCTCAGTTGGTCCCTTCCAACTCTACAAGTCTATGAGTCTAGGCTCATCCATGTGGTAAAACGAGCTTATGTGCTGAGAAGTTGTAATAATGCAACACTTACTTGCCATTTCCCATTCAAGGTTCCTTTGGCAAGCAGGGACTTTTATAATCACACATGATGATAGACACAGCTTCCCACTCCCTCCAGTGTTTGTAGTGAAACCTGTGTGTGTAACAACCAATTGAGTACCAAGAAAGTAAATTTTGGAATAAATTGCTTTTTTGAAAAAGAAGAGGCAGAAGAACCCTTGACTTCTGCTCTCCAGACTCCTTTGTGGTATTTTCTTTAACATTTTCTCAATATTGTTTTTAAAAATGCTCCTCCTTATTTATTAAATTTGTCCTTTATTATGTTATGAACTGCTGCTGTAAGGCATTTATAGGCCGTGAGCAAATTGCTGACTTAAAGCACAGCTTAGTTGTTTTTCCCCCCTTAATTCAGATTGAAGCTGGTTTTTTGGGGGGGGGACATTTCAAAATGCAAGATTTTCTAAGAAACAACAGGATGGATATGGATTGTGGCTAAAGTAGACTCCTTCCAAAAACAGTGGCAGAGGTGCACTGGATGCCGAGTAAACTGGCGTGTGTGCACAGCCTCAGTTGCCAACAGAGTAATCTTTTGTGCTGACTTGGATAACAGAGCAGTCATTTGGCTCTTCAGCGCTGATAAATGGTCAAATCCCTGCTTATGTCATTCGCCATCGGGAACGAACGATACCAGTGTCTCTCGCATCTTAGAATTCCAGTGTCTTTTTCAAAACCAGCTGCTTGGAAGAAGTCTCTGTTAGTTGCATACTTTTCTGCATTTGATGCTTCGCAGCTGGCGGCTGAGGTTAGCTCTGTGACCGAATTCTTGTTTGTGGATGGCATTTTTGTCATGAATTCAGATAAGCAGAGGCCAACAAAGACTCCAGCTCCTTAAATGCGCTGCCGGGTGAACGAAAGCCTAAATCCTTGGCATCTCTTTAGAGAAAGTGCTCCATTTCCTGAGCACGGCGGGGGAGGTGGGGAAAGGGATTCAATTTTGATGGTTTATACTCCTCCCAAGAGACTTACTCTAAGCTGTGCTGGAACATTAATCAAAACATTTATATATTCCCCTTTCTCTTATTCTGCTAATCATCTTCGTGCCGTGTTGGATCTCAACACATTTCCAACAAATAAATAAATAAATAGCATGGAGCTAGCACACCCAACCCAAGAGACTACATCTGTGTCTAAGCATGACCTCTAAAATAGCCAGGAATACAATTTTAAAGATTATTGTGAGTGTACAAAGGTGCAGAGAGGTGTTCCCAGTGGCTGCCCCATAACGTTGGCATTCCTTTTCCCTGGAGACACGCCAAAACCTGAATAATCTTTCAAAGGCTATTTTTCTGTCAGGGCATAGGGTCTGAGCCCATGATGGTGAAGTCAGCACAAAAGTGTTCTAATCCAGAATAAAGATCACTTCTGATTAGAATTCCCAAATGTGGGTTGGTCTACGCACAAGTTTGGTTACGCTCAAAAATAAAGATGATTTTTTCCCAGTATGAAAGTCCAACACAAAACACACACACGAACACCTGGCAGAAGCCTACCCCTTTGTTCGTGTGAAGAGAAACTACTTTTGCCCAATACATACAACTAGGGGATGGGGGGGGGCACCATTTTTAAAAAACAAACATAATAATTGCCCCATCCTGTTTTGAAACGTAATACACTACAATGCAAAAACGGGACTCCAAAACGCTGTCTCTCCTGTGGATAGCTGCCCTTATTCAGCAGTTGTACACATTCTCACAGACATACACTGTACTGCTGTGTGTAACAGTCAAAAGACTTCAATAAGCTAATGCAATAGAGAGAGATGCTAGATCCAGGCCAAAATAACATTTCCTGTCAGTGCAGTTGAGCTAGAGAAGAATTCTGTTCTGTTTTGTGTATCAGCAGCAGAAGTTCAAACTGGCTTCCAGCTTTTTATTTTGAGTTCACATGAAGGGTGACATGTGAGCCAGAAATAACCCAGATGGGCTCTGCATAGAGAGGCTAAAAGCAAGGGGAATAATATTTGCTTCTTAATAATTGAGTCAGTTTTGAAGGGAGCATCTGAGGCAGTAAACATGCCGGCTGCATCAACATCCTTCCACAATTTCAAATCCCACAATTCTTTGATTGTATAAAGTTTTTTTTGATGTAAGATGAATCAGCAAGTGTCTCTTTAGATCTCCACTTTAGAGCAAAGTGAATATTCTGTCATAAAAGCACATTCAGATAGTTGAGCATGTGATGTTGTGGATTTATTCTACAAATCAGCATACGAAGTAAGAGCCCGTCCCGTTCAGACTTTTCATCAAGAGAGTGCCTCTTATTTTACTTCTTGTCCTTCCCTATCTGTTAGCTGATTAAAGCAGAGATTTTGTAAAATCCTTCAACTGTATTACATATAATTAAGGTCTACTATAAAATGTCATCTCTTTGGCGTTTAAAAGTCTACATGCTTACTTGTGCATAATTATTCTTCCGTTGTGTTCCAGGATATCACCTGGCAAGATGAACACTCTGCTCCTTTCTCCTGGGAAACCAAGGTAATTTTGCTAACTTATGTTATTCTCATGTTGGTTCACCTTGGAAGTTTTACTAAGCCTAATTGACACTCCTGTCATGGTTAGGGTTATACCATGCTAACGGTAGTTTAAAAGAAGAGTAGTTTTTCCCCTTGCAGTTAGTGTGCAGGCCATTTAATATTGTGTGAGCTCACTGGATATCACTTCTTGCAACGCTATACAAAAATGGCTATTGATTTCTTAATAATACTGCATTGCCGCCAACCAAGTCAGAGTTAGACCCACTTAAGTAAACATAACCCCCTGCTTTATCCTCGGAAAAACCCTTCAGGGTAGATTAGGTGTAGGGGTAACCAGCCCAAGGCCGAGGAATTTCATGCTCGGGCAAAGATTTGATCCCAGATCTCAAAGGGCAAAGTCTAACACTCTCTAAAGCTGTTATCTACAGTGTCTAGCTCTCAAGACTGGATGCCATTGTGTTCAGTGTGACTAGTTATAGCTCTTAGAACAGGCTTCCTCAACCTCGGCCCTCCAGATGTTTTTGGCCTACAACTCCCATGATCCCTAGCTAGCAGGACCAGTGGTCAGGGATGATGGGAATTGTAGTCTCAAAACATCTGGAGGGCCGAGGTTGAGGAAGCCTGTTTTGGAATGTGCTCTTTGAAATGTAAGTAGTTCAGCTATGGTTTAGAAAAAATGTGTTTGGCATAACGGACAACCTGCTCGCAACTAAACTGGTGCAGCATGGTGGTTAGACTGGCAAGTTGTGAACAAGCAGGGTCCCTGGTTTGAATTGTACCTTGGGCAAGCCTCTCCCTCCCTCTGCTCAGCGGTCACAGTAATACTTGCTGCGCTTTACTGGGCTATAAGGATCACTGAGAGAATAAATGTGGAGAAATTTGGGCATTCAGGAAGCAGCATCTAAATGGCAAGTATATTATTATTCCGTGGAAAGACTGACCTGGAAAATGACTGCATAATGTTGAGGATGTGGGAGGATAGAATTCATCTTGTTTAAAGGTCCCTTTAATGGGATTCTTTAAAATGGAAAAATAATATAGCTCTAGTTGTATCCTTTTTGCTGTCCTTCCTATGAAGCTTCCCCCACTAACCAAATGGAATAAATTTCTGGTGTCACTTTATAAATATGATGTTGACAGCAGGTAGCTGGAATGCCAGGGAATAAATAGCCTTATGAAAAGGAACTGACTTCAGTGGGGGTGGCATTCAACTGAGTTTTATGCAGAGTAGACCCACTGAAATTCATGAACATGACTCCGTTAGGTCCATTAATTTCTGACTAAAATTTAATTGAGTGCCCCCCTGGGTTTAGTTCTCAAAGCAACTTACACCTTGAGTGAAAAGATCACCTGTTTGAGCTTCCACATGTTGTTTCCAGGTTGCCACCAGCAGAATGCAATTGCTTAAAATTGCCTGATATAGCTGGAAAGAGGTGGCCACAATTCTCCCCAATTTGCCTGTTAGTCCTGTTCTGCACTTTGCAAGAGCAGATCACCACCAGAAGGGTGTGGATGGGTGGTCACAAGGCATGGGGAAGCAAAGGGTGGAAAAGGCCATGCCTGCCTTGTTTTGCTCCATCAAATTGGGGCATTTGAACCCGGCATACATATTCTCCAGGTTGCAATCTGCCAGCCCACCTTTGAACATTTGTTATATACCACTGTTGTAGTTGTAGTGGTGGGGGCGGATGGAGGACCCTAAAAAGCCACCGAGTGAAAAGTTCTGCTCTACCTTTCTTACCTTTTTAGGTGGTACTTTCCATTTATACACCAAGAGTTCTTTTTTGACGTTTCTACAGAATGCATAGTGTTAGAGCAGGCAGAAGGAGCGCCAGTATGTCCTATTCCATTTTTGTTTCATTCCCTCCCTTTGCCTTTTATAAGCAGTGATATATATGTAGCTCTGTGGCTGATGCAGTTACTGTTTTTATATAATTGTAGAGTTGGAAGGGACCATGAGGAATCTCAACTAAAGCATCCATGACAGGTGGCCATCCAACCTCTGCTTAAAAACCTCCACAGAGGGAGAGTCCATGGGAGTCTGTTCCACTGTCGAACAGCTCTTACTGTCAGAAAGTTCTTCCTGATGTTTAGTCAGAATCTCCTTTCTTGTAACTTGATTCCATTGGTTGGGTCCTATCCTCCAGAGCAGGAGAAAACAAGCTTGCTCCATCTTACATGTGGAAGCCCTTTAGATAATTGAAACTAAACATAAGCATACACAGGTTAAACATACACAGCTCTTTCAAGCGTTCCTCATAAGGCTTGGTTTCCAGTCCCTTGATCATCTTGGTTCCAGATTATCAATATTATTACTTAGATTTCTTAACTGCCCTTCACAGTTAAACCAAATCACAATCAAGAGAATAGGTTAGATCCTAAAATGTCTCTCTCTCAGGGGTCAAAGACCAGAGTGAAGGGGTATATTTCCTATATACAGTGGAGACTACATAATGGAAGGCACCAGAAATTCCACAGAGAATGTCCTTCCCCGAGCTCCCTGCTTGAATTGAATCCATTTTGCTTGGGGGAAGATGATGGCCCCAAAAAATCTCCTGTTTTGGAGCCAAGCTTCTCATTATAAGCAGTTGCATACTTCCCCCCTCCCTCGAGAAGCAACCTTGGAGAGTGCAACCAGGAGCAGAAAAGCAGTGAGCGGGGAGGGTCTCCTGAACCCCTTTCCCCCTTCGTGCCAGCCTGGGTCCTCCAGAGCATGCCAGCTGTGTAGTTCTAACACAGCAGGGCTTGGGCTGTAGCAAGTCATGACCTCAAAGCCATAATTTCCTACAGCTGTCCATATTTTGGGAGCTTGATCATGTTACTAAACCAACACGTTCAAAAGAGAGCTGGCCAAAGATAGAGTTTTGAGAAATGTTGGAATTTTTTTTTAATTTGTTGGTTTGTTTTTGCTCCTTTTACTGCAAGTATGTTTTTGTCACTCCTGCTTTCAAAACATAATGTTTGGCCTACCTGGTTGTTAGCTGTGGTTGTACGTGTTCAAAAATATGAGCAGCGACGTCCCACAGTTTGGGGAGATTGGTGTAGACTGGAGGTTTCTAAAAAAGATGAATGACACTGAGGGGGTGAAATGGAAACATTGGTTTTGGCTGTAATTTGGGCCCATAGCTCTGTGGTAGAGCATGTGCTTGGAATGAGGCTTCAGGATTCAGTTGCTGCCACTTCCAGTTAAGTAGCAGGACCGGGAAATAGACTTAAAACTCTGCCTGAGAGCTGCTGCCAGTCAGAGCGCACTCTCCTGGGTTAGATGGATGAATGATTTGATTTGGTAAAGAGCACCAGTGTATTTAAATCTCTTCCTTCTTTCAAGTTACCATTTCTCTGTGGGATGCAAGCTTTTCTCTGGAATCTGTTCGGAATCTTTTTGGAATCTGTTTGAATTCCCACATGTGCAAAGCGACTTAGCATCCCCAATACTATTGCCCGTTTTTCCTGGCAGCAACTTGCCTCAATATGGCAACAAGCCATGCAGGCAGTGGTATCCAGTCTGTGTGGTGAACATTAGACCATTTCACAGCATGTGGAGGCAGGGAGGCAGTCTCGGCCTGGCAGAAACGACCCTTAGATTCACATGAATGAGCATCAATAGCTGCACATCTCCATCCTAGTATCACCTCAGTGCTTATCCCCTGTGCTCACATTCACGCATTGGGGGGGGGGGGAGACTCCCAATGCCCAGTTAAATTTCTGGATCTGAAGGCAAACAGCCTAAGGAGCTGCAATATCTTCTTATTTGTAGTTTGAGTCTGTGGCTCAAACTGTCTGATGGTGTGAGTTCCCCGAGTGGCCTGCATATAACTGCCTGAAGTGATTGACGAAGGGGTTCTTCATTGTTGCGGCAACTATTTAAGAGCCATTGTGGTGTAGTGGTTAAAGTGCTGTACTAAGAACTGGGAGAACAGAGGTCAAGTCCCCACTCGATTATCAAGATCAGTGAGTGATCTTGAGCCAGTCACAGTCTTTCAGGTTAACCTACCTCACAGAATTGTTCCATAAGGATAACAGGCAGGGGACAGGACCATGTCTGTCACCTTGAGCTCCTGGGGGAAAGGGGACATAAAATTATAATAATAAATGTAATGAAATACAGTCATACCTTGGTTTTCAGACAGCTTAGCTCTCGAACGTTTTGGCTCCTAGACACCGCAAACCCGGAAGTGACTGTTCCAGTTTGCGAACTATTTTTGGAAGCCAAACATCTGACGGGGCTTTCAATCGGAAACCGCACTTTGGTTTCCAAACATTTTGGAAGTCAAACGGATTTCCGGAACGGATTCCATTCGACTTCCAAGGTGCGACTGTATGGAGCTAGCAGCAAGTCAGAGGCTTGCTTCAGTGATGCATTGTAATCTTGGTTTTGTTGAATTTCTAAGGTGCAGGATGTGTTCTTTGCAGGAAATCCTATACTTTAGTGGTTGTCCAATCAGCTGAGACTTAGGCCGCAATCCTAGACACAGCTACTTGGAGTAGGTCCCACTGAACTCTGTTGGGCTTACTTCGGAGTAGACACGTATATGATTGCACTGCAGGCGTACTCTTGTCAGTTAGCCAACTTTAGGTTCCTCTCTTCCGTCTCAGCAATTTTGTTTTTTGAAATACTACAGGTTGTGCTTAAAGGAGTTTTTAGTGGGTGTGGTAAGCTCTTGTCCTACAGGCTTTGTTTCAGTATTTGCCGGTGGGTTTTTTCCTCTTTCTATTTTGAGGTTGCCAAGCCAAACAGCTTGTTTTGGCTGTGCGCGCTATCTGCTTAACGAAATACTGCACATTCCCAACCAGTGAATAAGCTATAAAAATAACTCTGTGAATTCTTGTGGCCTTCTCTGTTTTTAGTGCATAGTTGAGAGCTGGTTAGCAGAGATCCAGTTTTCATTCAGTTTGATGGGGAGCCAGCCTTATAATTTAATACTTGCCTGGTTGCCTAGGGCATTTGCCACCATTTTGCAGTGAGGGTGAAAGAAGCTGGCCACAGAAACCTCTCTTGAGAACCCTGCCACAGCCTCCACAGCCTCCTTTCTAGCCATTGGAACAAAGAAAGCAGACTCTGTGGCACTCCATGTTGCTGGACTACAACTTCCATCATTCCTGGCCAGTGGCTGTGCTGGCTGGATCCAGTGGGAGTTGGTGCCCAGCAACATCTGGCATGCCACAGGTTCCCCAATCTCACATTAGAGTTAGCGGGTGTAAAATACCCTGAGAGTTTTATTAAAAGGTGGTATAAAAATAATTATAAAATCAGTAAATAATGATTAAGTGGTACATAAATGCCTTAAATAAATGAATACAGTAATAAATGGTTGTAGATAGCCAATACTGGAATAAACCTTTCATTAATGTACAATGAAGTGCAAGACCAAGAGGTCAGTTAGTCAGATCCTGCTGTTCTCCCCTCTGTCCACAGAACCTGAATTGCCTTGGGGACAGAGCTTTAAAAATATTGGCAATTCTTCATTGCCAGCAGTGGCAACTGAAGCCCGTTGTGCCTTTCCATTTGCACTGAGTCACCCATTGCCAACTTGGTGCCCTCTGGTTGTTTGGACTGCAGATCTAAATCAGCTGCCTTGGGAATAGGCCAGAAATATGAGAGGGGAACATGAGAGGAAGGGATAAAGTTGTGGATGAAATCAGTGTTTAGGCAGATTATTTTGAAGAAGACCAGAACCGTGACCTTGAATTTTGTAATTTCAGAACTCAGCAATATAAAGCTTTGGGTCTGCCAGAGCTTCCCTAGCCCATAGTGTGCAGAACCCCAGACTGCCACTGCATGGAAGTGCTCCTGCTGGCCAGTTATTCTAGTGGGAAAAAATCTTGCCAGGCCGGAAACTTCATCGCCCAAGCCATACATTACCTCCTGCTGCTTGAGCACATGGCCAGAAACAGGACATGTGGTTTGTGTGCTTTCAGTTCGGAATATCTGGAAGCTGTTGAAACTCATTCTGCCAGGGAACTAACTCATCCACTCCTTCCCCCTCTCTGTATGCTTTGTTTCACTTTTTAATTTTCTTTCTTTCTTTCTTTGGTCTCTGTTTATGAATCGCTTCCCATAAAATATCTCAAAGTGATTTCAGAGTAAGAACATCAACGAGAAAAACAATTTCTAATCTAGTATGAGATAAAGATACCCACTTAAGAGGCTTCCTGAAGAAGGAAGGTCTAAATAATAATAATAATAATAATAATAATAATAATAATAATAATAATAATAATACCACCCCACCCATCTGGTCGGGTCTCCCCAGCCATTCTGTGTGGCTCCCAACAGAATATTAAAAACACGATAAAACATTGAACATTAAAAACTTCCCTAGACAGGGCTGCCTTCAGATGTCTTCTAACAGTCAGATAATTGTTTATTTCCTTGACATCTGATGGGAAGGTGTTCCACAGGGTGGGCGCCACTACTGAGAAAGCCTTCTGCCTGGTTCCCTATTCTATGTTGTGAACCGCCCTGAGATCTATGGTGGTATACATACAAATTCAATAAATGAACTAAAAATATTTCAGTTGGGGTCAGAAAGACAATAGAAATGGAACTCCAGGAGGAAGTTCCAAAGGGTCGGTTGCCACCACACTAAAGACCCAACTCCTATATCTTACATTAAAGACCTCCTGAAAACTGATCAAGCTGTTACGTACTATGAAGGAACATTAGTGAAACATAATAATGCTGGTGGGATAGAAAGCAGGCTTTGCAAGGGATAAGATGACGGGCAGCGAAAAGGTCCAGCTTTCTCCATCATGTAAACCTAGACTCCAAAAGCAGAAGTGAGCCTGGTTAGAGTAAAAGTGGAGTTGGAATGGGTGTGAGTCTCCTCTCCTGCCTCCTCTCATTCTTCCTTGAAGGCCATCTTAGAATTTTCCCATTAGCTGAGCAAAAGCTGGGCTTGAATTGCCTCTTTGCCAAGAAAACACGTCATTTGGCCTCTAACATTGCAAGCCACTGGCACAAGTTTTCTCAAGTTACTTTAAACTGGGGATGACTATCCCATGGTCCTCCAGATGTTGTTGGGCTCCAACACTCAACAGTCCCAGCCAGTATGGTGAGTGGCTAGGGAGGATGGGCATTGGAGTACTACAGTATCTCAAGAATCACATGTCAGTCACCCTATGCTTTAAGCTATATCTGTTTGTTCCTGCGTGTTCTCAACTAGGGTTTGAGCAATGCTCCTACAATTGTAGAGCCAGTCAATTCAAGCATGATGGAGAGTGTCCTGATGTTCAGACTAGATTTGAAACCTGAATTGTGTAGTAATGTGCATGGCCAACCTTCCGTGGGAAGTGAAATTGATTACCATCCAAAAATGTTTTCTCTGTTATGTGTGGTGTGTTTTTGTTTGTTTGTTTCATGGCCCTTTATGATAGTTCCTTTTATGCTGTGTACTTCTTAGATAATTGTGGGCCATTCGTCAGAGGAAGCTAAATCTGTAGTATCTGGTATCCCTTCTCTAACAGCTGCTTGGCTCTTCCTTGGACATAATGGATGGCATCTTATAAGCAAGTGCATGGCAAATCTGCCTTATTTGCACAGTTTCTAGAGGTTGCAGAATCCCCCTTTACTTGGCACAAAACCTAGGCTGTGTTTGTGCTAACCGTCAAAATTGTGTGCCCATCCCAGATTCTGCCCACAGCTTACCTGCAGCAGGCAGTAAGTACAGTGGTACCTCGGGTTAAGAACTTAATTCGTTCCGGAGGTCCGTTCTTAACCTGAAACTGTTCTTAACCTGAAGCACCACTTTAGCTAATGGGGCCTCCTGCTGCCGCCGCGCCGCTGGAGCACGATTTCTGTTCTCATCCTGAAGCAAAGTTCTTAACCCGAGGTACTATTTCTGGGTTAGCGGAGTCTGTAACCTGAAGCGTCTGTAATCTGAAGTGTATGTAACCCGAGGTACCACTGTACCAGGTAGCTGTGGCGCAGTCTGCCAGATCCTCACCCATAACCTCTAAAACAGTCACCACCATCCCTCTCTAAACCTCTCCACTACGTGCGTTTTCTCATGCAAAGAGAGTTGGCAGTAATTCTTTCTAATCCCCAACAGAGTCAGATGGAGTTCAGCATTGCTTCTCTGTCCATACAAGAGCCAAGTGCAGTGGCATTGCAGAGCGAACCAAAGCAGACCACCAAAACCGCTCCAGGGCCCCCAGCCCCCAAGCCCGCACAAGGTGCTAAAACGCCTAACTCAGAGGGGCTTCTGCCAGCTAGGAAAGAGGAGGAGTCGTCATTCTGGAAGATCAATGCTGAGCGCTCGAAGTGTGACGGAGAACAGTCTGAGTTCTGTTCTCTGACCCCAAGCCAGATCAAGTCCATGGAGAAAGGAGAAAAGACCCTCCAGCCTTACTACAGGCAAGAATCTGGTCCAAAAGAGGCAACCAAAGCAGAGAAGCCTAGTGCTAGCAAACCTGAAAAATTGACCACCCCCGTTCTTGCTGCAACTTCAATAGAATGGGAAAAACCTCAACCTGGCCAGCCGAGTCCTCCTGATGTTTGTCCTGAGCCAGTGGAAAAACTCTCATCAACTGGGACCAAAAGTGAGGAGGCTGATAGTGGTTTCCTTTCAGAAGTGCAGGTAAAAGCTGGCCTTCAATCCCTTGCTTTGTCTATTTGAGTGCTTTGCAAAACAAAACAAAAGTCCACCCTTCTGCAAATGTTGCTCGAGAAGATTAGCAGTTCATACAGTTCTAAACACTAAGCTTGTTTCTTTTTCTTCTGCCAATTAAATCCAGCTCCAACATAAATGCTAATGCATTTTCAATATGTTTTTAATATACAGTCGTACCTTGGTTGTCGAATGCCCTGGAACTCGGATGTTTTGGCTCCCAAACGATCGAAACCCGGAAGTCACTGTTCTGTTTTTTTAACGTTCTTTCAGAAGCCAAACATCTGACGTGGCTTCCGCAGCTTCTGATTGGCTGCAGGAGCCACGATTCGGTTTTTGAATATTTTGAAAGTCAAACAGACTTCCAGAATTAATTCCGTTCGACTTCCAAGGTACAACTGTATATATAGTAGCAGCATTTGCCATTTGAATTGCGGAAATCCTGTATGAGTCCCTGCATGACTTGGTTTAAAGCAGGGGAGTGGAACCTTTGGCCCATCAGATGGCTAAACTACAACTCCCAGGAGACCCAGCAAGCATAGCCAGTGGCCAAGGATGATGGGAGTTGTAGTTCAGCAGCATCTGGTAGGCCTAATGTTCCCAGCACCTGGTTTTGAGGTTAGGTTTTTCTGCTAGCATGCAGACAAGCAACCAGAGATTGAAATCTTCCTCCCCCAAATCCAGCCCTGTAAGATTTTCGATGCAAATTTCGAATTCCATAGCACTACTTGCAGTGACGGAGGACTCTGATGCTCACATGTAATTTTGGGTGCTTTTATGGGGTTTGGGTTTTTTGTTCTTGTTTTACAGTGTCCATATAATGCTATCAAAATGCCAGCTACCCCAATTTAATCTAAATTTATCCTTTCTAGGGGAAATAAAAAAACGGGGGGGGGGGGAGGAAGGATCTGTTTCCCAACAACCTGCCTGCAATATTAAACCTGTGCCAGGAAGCACCTTTTATTGTATATATGTGTATGTTACTGATTAGGGTTAATTTAGTTTCAATGATTTAAGTATTCACTTTGTCTAATTTTTGTGTCTCTGCAGAGCAATGCAAATAACGTTATCTTGAAGACCGGATTTGATTTTCTAGACAATTGGTAAAGGACCAAAATAGCTTCAGCTCAGTTTTGGAGGAAGAGAACAGGAACATCTCTCTTCCAGTCTACTTTATTTTATTTTATTGGTATTGGCTTCTATTTGACCTTTCAAACTAATATTTTTTCCAACTGTTTTAAATGTTGCCTTTGTATTTACACTTTTTTGTAAAACCATATGGATATTTGTATTTTGAAATTGTCCAGTGTTAGAAGTATGGTTTTTTCTCTTTATGATTATATAGGGTGAATTGTTATATTGGAGATGGGACAGGATACATTTCCTAATTAGTGTTATGTGTTTTAAGGACAAGGTTTGAGGGATCTGACCTAGAGAGAGAGAGAGAGAGAGAGAGAGAGAGAGAGAGAGAAGTTGAAGCCACCCGACAGAGGCACCTATTTTCATTTCATATACAAAATAAACTACACCTTATGGGCTGCAACATGACTTAAAGAAAGCAATTTATGTGGAGATGGTGCAGCGGCAAAACACCGTAGGCCTAGGTTCTGCTGAAGCACAAAGCTCAAAAACCAAAATTAATCTTATCTGTTTCAAATAAACTACACAGAAAATTAAGGCTACAGATTTTTACACTTTTATTTTTGTATAGGTATGTTTAGTTTGACCAAATTATTTCTAATGCTGATATTGGTAATGTGGTATGAAATATTTTTGAAATGGAAAAGCTTTTACAAAGGAGGCTGTTCAAACCAGCACCGTAGCTATACTTGGGAAAATAATTTGCCTAAATGCAAAGCCAATGCGGAGAGGGACATGGCAAGAGAGAAGACAAAACCCCACAAATACATTTCAGTGAAGCTTCTCTTTTATCTTTGAAAAATAACTCAGTAAGAATATTTTGGGTGAATACAACCTTGCAAAACAACCGATTCTCTTGAGACCTCTTAGCATTCCTCTTAAGAGTGGCATTGCACACCAATCTGTAGGAGTGTCAATTGCCTCTTCCCTACCCCTCCCGCAAAAGAAAACTCTACAGTAATCCACCATGTTTGAAACTTGTAGGGTGGTCAAGTTCAAAAGAGGACAGGGGTCCTACATCCTTTATTAGTTGTGTAGAAGAGGGGATTTCATCAGGTGTACTTGTATGACAAGGCGGTTAAAGGTGTTGGCATTCTGTCCTCTTGAATCCAGCCACCTTATCAGAGAGGATTTTTTTTTAATTGTTTCAGTAATAATAATAATGGTAGTAGCAGTAGTAATAAGCTTCTCTTGAAGGTATCTTGACTAATTTCTGGTGCTGCATCCCTTAGTGAGGCTAGAATTCCCAACATGTCACACCCACACACCCTGATGTGCTAAGTTTTTGTTAGTTTTTAAACTTGCAGAGAGCTATTAATATGATGGGTTGGTCATTCAAAAATGACACCCCTCCACTATAGCTTGAAATTATATCACCACCTCAGGATTCTAGCACCTCCTTCTTTCTGCTGCATATGTAGACCAGGCCTCATTGTTGTCAGCTATTTAAAATGTACGTGTGTGAGTAGAACTGTCGCCTGACAATGCGTCGTGGTTTTCCATTTTGCTTCACTGCTATACCTATCACCTTCGAGCCTTAATTTCCCTTTACGCACAACTAGTGATCTGTCCAATCCAAAGCCAAAGGTGACTGACGCTCTGATTTTAAATTCTTGCAATTTAAAATCCCAATAACTGAATTTCTGGAGTATTGACCCAAGGCAGTGGTTCTTTGTGCCAACTCGTGGAGATCCCACAAAGTTTGCATCGGACTACTTCTGTAGGACAAAAAAAGCAAACCTTACACCCTCTCTTTATTTTCTGTGCTTTTTGTAACAGCACTTGCTAGTAGCCTCCGGGTAGCTTATCGCAACCTTGAGATTTCTGTTTGCGTGACCTCACACTAGTGTATAAACTAAAACCTGAAAATTCCTCTTCATCTACATAAGCTCTACTTCAGTCCACTTTCTGTACATCCAATCTCCTGTTCTCTCAATGTACTCTGCAGGAAACATAGATCGCAACAATTAATCAAACCAAATGAAGAGACTTCTTCTAAGTCTCTGTTCCAAAGACACGTCCATCTGTGTTGCTATGGAAAATAAGAAAATATGGGGGGACACTAAAGGAAATGCTGCTTCTGTGTCCCCATCTCTCTCACACATGGGTGTTTGTGGTAAAACAGCGATGTAGGCAGGTTAAATATGTGCATCTCTAAACACTCAGATGCACACTCCAGAGCTCAGGATAACTTGTGGGTCCCTGTGGCATCTTTGGCGATGCATCTCTCCATCACACGGTGTTTACCGTAGCAGCACCTGTCATGCTGCGTCGCTGTGCTGCCATGTTCCGTGTGAATTGACTCTTGAGTAACAAGCAGCTTCCTGACACTGCTAGTTATTCAACTTGGGATACTGACAGTTCAAAATGGCAGGAGGCTGAAGAGATTTTAGCAGAAGAAAGCCTCTTGAAGTTCTGGTAACAGTTTGTGAGCGATCTATTTATGGCTACGTTTACAAGTTTTTTGAGTCACTTTAATATTTGTAAAATAAATTCAGAATGGTTTTTTAAATTAGAAAAAACATTTGGTATTTAAAAAGCAACAAAACGCTATGATTGAGCACAAGTTCTACATGCATGAAGGCATTTCTGATTCACATTTTGGCATTTGAAAGGGAATATTTGCAATCTTATAAAAGCTGAATAATGTGAAGTGTGACTTTTTTTAGTTCAGGTCCTCTTCTCTGTGTTGACAACTTCAAGAAGCAGATATTTTCAGTTTAACAGACAAGTAATGTCACTTTCCATATTTTTTTTGGCCCATGAAAGAGAATGCCCTAAGCCCTAGAGAAGCATCTTTTTAAAATCTCTGCTTTCATGCACTGACAATGGATAAACGGATAGGATCTGTGTTATTTTCTTCTTCTGTTCTCTTGTTTTGGAGTCTTTCATCTTATACACTTAGGGTTTACTTCCTCTAAAGTGTTTGTACACAGCCTATTCCCTACAGTGAGGCTAACTCAGAAGATGTTGATAGATTGTACTCAGTGCAACCAGCCAGCAAATGTCTACTGCAGAAATCTTTACTCTCCCTTTCCCTTTACTGTGCTTTGATGGCTAAATCGGATGCTTCTCCCTTTCTTAGATATGTTTTTATTGAAGTTCGTATTCAAAATACTTGGTCACATTTTGTATAAAATTACTTCTTAATTAAAGGCACCTGACATAAACCAGTTTCATTGCCTTTATTGCTTCGATGTCCTTGCCTCTTCCTCCTTGACATGGTTCTGACATTTTGATATGGGCTTCATCTGCATTATACGTTTACTTTTATTATTTTTTCATAAAAATTATTCACAGCTGATTTTATAAAACAAAAACAAAACCTCAAAGCAGTTCACAAAAAAGAATTTAAAGCAGTATCATACCCCTTGGCTTCCCCCAGAGAATCATGAGAACTGTAGGTTGTTAAGGTTGCTGAGAAAATTAAACATTATTATATTGGTTATTTGTTGCAAATCTTTGCACAAAATTGGCTCTCATGGGGGTGAAAGCTGGTTTTTACCATGTCAGACAAAAAATTTTAGATCTAGAATTGTTTCTACATCTTGAGCTTAGAGTGCTAAAGACTATTCCAAACTCCTAAAACGAGAATCAAACTTGTGCCCATCTTGTGAAAATTGATTATCCATCTATCAAACTTGTCTAACCCCTATTATTATAAATCACCCCCTTCTCTTCCTGAAAGGTATTTCATCACTACTTGTTTGGGCCAAGTTAGTATAAGGGAGCTCTACATTTGTAGAGGGGTGTGTGTTTCATAATACTGTATTTTTCCATGTATAAGAGGCCCATATATTTTTTTAACCCAAAATTGAGAAATTAAATTGCTTAGCTTTTTTGGGGGGGGGGGGAGGTCACTTCCAGCAAACACTCACCCCCCTGCCCGCCACTGCTGATCTCACACATCGACGCAGCCGCCTTATCTGCCCACTCATTGCCACCAAAGCCCGCCCACTTGCCGCAGCCGCCAAATGCCTGCCCACCTTCACCACAGCTGTCAGTTGCCTGCCCAGTTGCCACAGCCAATCGCCAGTAGGCCTTGCCGCAGCCACCAATCACCCGCCCAAATCGCCGCTGCCAATCTCCTGCTTGCTGCTGCCATTAATTGCACGTCCCCCCTCTGCATTCACTACCCGTGTATAAGACAACACCCAATTTTTGCCAATTTTTTTTAAGCAAAAAAGCAGCATCTTATACAGTAATTCTCCATTTCTATCTTGCTTGTCGTTCATGGAGCCCATAGGAGATTCTCTCATGATCTCCCTTTTGGGTTAGCAGCTGGATCTCTTAGCTGCAGAATGGAATAACATCATCTGCCTCCAAACTACTATCCTGTAGTTCCAACTTTTGAGTCATGGTTGGTAAAATCAAGAGGGTAAGTCTTGTTACTTTATAAGATCATGAGAAAGGAAACATGCTTGTCTTCACTTACTTTTCCTCTGCTCATTCCAAGCCCAGCCCGCTCTTTGAAGCTCATTCAGAGCAAACAGCAATCCACAGAAAACCTGAATTGACATTTGCTCCGATTGAGCACTAAAGACCGAGATTTTGAAGGGAAAGCTCCAGGGCAAAAATCCCCCACAAAAATGCTCTGACACAGACCTGTGCCTAGAAAGAACAGGGCAAAACGTAAGTTTGGATGAGCCCAAAGCTGTGCAAAGCAATTCAAGGTTGAAAGTGTTCAATGACCTTGAACGGTGCCCAAATAATAATAGCCAGGCACAGAGTGGTTTGATGCAATCTTACAGCATTTTCAGATGATCACTATTTTGTGAGTGGGATTCAATCACATACTGGCAGATTTAAGTTGCTCGATTGATTAAAGCTGATTTGGAACTGTTCCCCCAAATACCGGACTTCTGGGATAAGGAAAATGATTCGGAAATGCACTGGGAAAGTGATAACACTTGCTTTGAGGTGTCATCTAGCCTCCCCACAGATAAATCAGAATGAATGCTCTTTAAGCAGGCATTGTTGTCTAATCTCCCTGCAAGCAAATCAGAATGGAAACCTAATATGTCTTCTGGAAGCATCCTTGATGTCAAAATCCCTTTAGATCATATGATCCCCCTGAAGGTTCTACACGACATTCTATGACAAGCTTTAATCCACAGTAGTTGCACTAGCATACCATGCTCTGTTTGACAGATTGGTCTATCCATCGGAGCTTATAAGAAATAAGAAAAAATAAGGTAAAAAAAAAACGTTTATAAGAGAGGCCTGCTGCAATTAGTGGAGTCGGCAAGGCTAACTTTAAAACATGTAGGATTCTCTTCTATTGCCTATAAATAGAACTGGCTAATTCTTTACTTGAATTATTCTACATAAATACCCATCCATGAATCCGTATCTCTGGAATCTAATGAAAATAACTTCCTTGGTCAAACTGATCAAATCACTCCATAAATTTCCATGATGAAACCCAGACAGTGCACTGCTTACATCAGGAGGAGACACAGAGTTTGTCAGCTTAAATTTGTTGGGACTTTATAGTGCGGTGATTTTAAGGACAGGTTCTCCAAAGCCCTCAGATATGAGTTAGTTGCATTATGAGACTACAAAGCAGTCGGGTTCTATGTAGATAGGGCTGGTAGGGGTTTGAGAAGGGAGATGGGCTAAAAGATGAGATGAGAAGGGGTTTTGAGAAGGGAGATGGTGGGGCAACACTTCTTCAATCACTGGCATCTCCAGTTAAAAGGATCCGTAAGCAACTGATGGAAAATACTTCTGCCCATCAGAATGGACAATACTAGACGAACGTTCTGACCTGGAATATGACATCTTCCTATGGCCCTTTCTAAAGTCTGGTTCATTTCTACTCATCAAGGTTTGTCAAGTCTTTGACAACTCCTGAGAGACACACAGCAGTTTTTGCTTTGTATGCAGAGAAACAAGGCTGTAGCAAGATGAGGCACGAGAAGGTATCAGCCAGGAATGAGGGAGAACTTTGATTCAGTTCACATATAAAGGCGAATCTATTTGATTAGCACTTTCTGAAGCAGTATGTGAGCTCAAGAACAGCTGCCCTTCAAAATTTGCACTTAACCAAATTTTGTGGGGCAGTTCTGCAGCCAAACAATGTCTGCCAACATGCACATATTAGGCAAAAGTGCACTAAATTGAATACATTGGTGAAAAAAACATGCAAAAATGTAGTCCTCCATATATTAGCAGACTTCCATTGGCCCAAGCCAGCATGGGCAGTGGGTCAACTATGATGGAAGTTGTAATCTAGCAGTGTAAGGAGGGCCCTGGGTTCTCCACCCCTAGATGTGTGTCCGTTTGGGTGGTAGCTTTGTTTACAATTTATATCAATTTTGTGTGTGAGTTAATTCAGAAGCGTCTTCACTCTTAAACTGAAGATACCTTGGTCTATATTTCAAGCCTGTGATGAACACCTGGGGGAGGGAGGAGGATTCTTTCCAAAAACATTGCCTTCTCCATTTTTTATTTATTTATTTGCCTTTCTTAAACACAGTACCACTGGTTGAATTACTCTACTAAAAAAGAGTGCCACACATTTCTACTATCCAATAAGGCTGAAATTACATACTGAAATTAAGTATTAAGGGCAACATAATATAGTGGAGAAGAGATTTGAATAATCTCAATGCTTCTGAATAGCCAACTGAGAACAAAACCACTTTTCTTCCAAGCTATTAAATGGATTGTGGTCATAGGATTGAAATAATAGTTTATAGGTTTATTTAATTTCCCCTTTTCTTCCTGCTCAGCAATTTTAAAAAGCTTTTTTCCATTTTCGGATCATTTTGTAAATCAAACAAAAACACATTTACAGCAGGGACGCCAAGTGTCAGCCAGATGCGAACTGGAACTTCTTACAAAAGATGGGGCATGGGGCTCAAGAGAATCCAGGAAAGCTGTTTTTAGAATGGGGGGAAAGCCATCTTATTTTACATAATACAATGAAATCCCCTAATACAATGTCAATCTGCTGTTGCTTCCACTTTTAGAAAGACTTGAAAATATGTGTAACTGCCCATCTGGCAACCACTTATCCAAAAAAATAGCTTTGCATGTTATGGTGTGTGTGTGTGTGTGTGTGTGTGTGTGTGTGTGTGTGACAGAGAGAGAGAGAGAGAGAGAGAGAGAGAGAGAGAGAGAGAGATGTACTTCTGCAATGTCTCTTCTAGCACCAGATATCGTAGCCTTCCTCATATGTAGTCATATTTAGCTGTTTCAAGCAAAGGCAGTTTTCTATGGGGCTTAAAGACAATTCCACCCAAGAGAAATCCTGGTCACGACAAATTAATTTAGTTGGGAACCCTTCTTTCTGCAGGTTTGTTTATATTCACTGGCAAAAGTTCAAATAGCAATGCCAAGAAAACTTCAGTTTCCCCAATAAGCCTCAGTAGCAAAAAGGTACTATTAGCATCTGTAATAAAATTGTATAACTGTGCTGATTTTGCATAAGCATGCTGACTTGAATATTTTATTCAGTGACCCTGACATTTGATGAAATTTATTGTCAGTTTTTTAAAAAAATAAAAATAAAGAACAATTAACATGACTGTTCACTTGGAGTCAAATGGATATTGACTCCCACTTTACCACTTAAAGAAACAGCAAAGAGATATTGAGAGGTTGCTGGAACATGAGGAAACGACAACAACTACTACCCAATTTAAATTTAATAACGCTCACTTGCAGTGCTTTCAAAATGTATTAGGCTCCTTTAATGTTTTCAGCCGTGGCACCCAAGATTTGGAAGTCTGCCTGGCTTCGTCACTGTCCATTTTGATTCTCTCCATTTCTCATTTTGCCCATCTTAAATTCAGTTCTCTGCATTTCTGCAGCAATTTATGTTTGTTTGTTTTAAAAAAACAATCCTCACAAAAATTAATCAGCATTCCAGTGCAATTTTTTCCTAATAAATATGTTTGTATGTAGTTTTGGTTAATGTGGACATGTCTGCAAGCCATTTCCCCTAATACGATGTATTTGTATATGTTATTTTCATGCATAGATTCGTTTCTATGCAAACTTTCCCCTAATATATGTATATTTTTTTGTTAAGCAATGTTTGTTTGGAGAACTATGCGGCAACATTATTGCTTTAATGTTTCGTGCTAACTGGCTTTCCCCAGATAATAATAGATCCTTGACAGTTGTGTTAGATGAGCACAAACAAAAATAGAATAATAAG